GAGCCCCTGACTGCTGTCTACACAGTCAGCCCCAGGATGTGTGGTTCCATTACCATCCCCCTTTTGGAGATGAGGGATGGGGGCCTTAAGGAGAGGAAGCCCCCTTGGCTGGGGTCTCACATCTGGTAAGCAGCAGGGCTGGAATCCAAGGAGCAGTCTGACTCCAGAGACTGAGCCGTTGGCCATGAGACAGTATTGACTTGACTGCTGTCCTCACCAGTCTGTCCAGCCTCGGGCAGTCAGGGTGTTCCTCCTGACATCGAAATCGTACTCACGGCCTGAAGTCTCCATCTTCTAAAATGGGATTAGCTCCCTGCCCTCGAAAGTGGAGTAGGCACACGTAGCACAGAGGTGGGGGTGACCAGCCTGGCCTCTCAGGGTCCCCACCAGCCACAGGGATAGAGAGCCTCTATCTTGCCTACCCTGGGGTATTGTTCTAAGTTCCTCCAGCCCCTCCTCAGTGCCCTGAACTCTGGGAACACTTCACTGCTTTCCTGTTCTCTACCTTGGGCCTTTCCCCGCAGCCCACCTTCCCCAGGGGCCGCCTCCACGGCTTTTCTGCCTTGTCCTGCCCTGGGCCAACCACACCTCTTCTCCCAGGCTCCAGTGACTTTCTTTGACTCCACACCCACGGGCCGGGTCCTCAACCGCTTCTCCTCTGACATGGCCTGTGCGGATGACAGCCTGCCCTTCATCCTCAACATCCTGCTGGCCAACGCAGCAGGCCTGCTGGGCCTCCTGGCTGTGCTGGGCTTCGGCCTGCCCTGGCTGCTGCTGCTGCTGCCGCCTCTGAGCGTCATCTACTATCGAGTGCAGAGCCACTACAGGGCCTCCTCGCGGGAGCTGCGGCGCCTTGGCAGCCTCACCCTGTCTCCCCTCTACACCCACCTGGCCGACACCTTGACCGGCCTCCCTGTGCTCCGGGCCACTGGGGCCACCTACAGGTGTGTGAGTGCCTCTTCCAACCGGCATGAGATGCTGGGATGGTCGGGGGATGAAGGGGATTGGGCGGGGAGGGGACTGGATCTCTAGGGGAAAGAGGAAGGAAACAGAAAAAACAGGTTAGTAAGGCCAAGAAGACCCCGCTGTGAAAGAGCTCACTGGCTCTTCCATAGCCTTGAGGTGAGGCCCGTGGGTGTGCGGGTCAACGCCAAGGAAGCGGGGGATGTTCTGCAGGGAGGAAGTCTGGGTGGGTCAGTGCAGCCACAGCATGGCCTCCCCCAGGTTTGAGGAGGAGAACCAGAGACTCCTGGAGCTCAACCAGAGGTGCCAGTTTGCTGCCAGTGCCACGATGCAGTGGCTGGACATCCGGCTACAGCTCATGGGGGCCGCAGTGGTCAGCGCCATTGCGGGCATCGCCCTGGTGCAGCACCAGCAGGGCCTCGCCAACCCAGGTGCCAGCCCGGGATCCTTCAGTCTCACCTCAGAAGGCTGTTATTCCTCGTCCCCCCCACCCACCCACGACCTCTCCGTTCACTGCCAAGCATTTTCACCTCTTGAGCAGGGTTCCCTGTGAGGATATGTTGTCATTCTCATCACCCCCATTTCAGAGTTGAGGACGCTGAGTCTTGAGGAGTCTCTCGCCAGGTGGTGGTGGATCTGGGGCTAAATCCCTGCCTGCTCACCCCGACCCTCAGTGCCTAGTACCCCACCCTGGCCCACCTGCCTTCTATCCATCCCCCTGCATAGCCTCTCCAGGCCCACCCATTCCCTCGCATCCAGCCTCCCGTGGGCCCGGCCTGGCTCCTGCATCTTCTTGCTTCAGTGCCGGCTTCCCTTAAATCCCCATGGTCCACAGCTTAGGATTTTCCCATTCTGCCCACCCCCTCCCTACACGCATCCCAGTGTCCCAGCCTCTGAGTGCTCTGTCCCCTCCCCCAGGACTGGTGGGCCTGTCGCTGTCCTATGCCCTGTCCCTGACAGGCCTGCTCTCAGGGCTGGTGAGCAGCTTCACGCAGACAGAAGCCATGCTGGTGAGCGTCGAGCGGCTGGAAGAGTACTCCTGTGACCTGCCGCAGGAGCCCCGGGGCCAGCGGCCACAGGTAGCCTGCAGCCCCACCCCAGCCTGGGCACTGGCACCCTGAAGGACCCCCAGTTCCTCTCCTTGTGCCCCTCACCAGCTTTTCTCCACTCCTGTAGTGTCCCTTGTGATCTCCCCGTTCTACAGGCCTGTCCCCCGTCCCTCCTAACTCCCACCTCTCCTCTCACACCACGCATCCCTCCCTTCCACTCTCCAAACCATCCCTCCACCCTTGCCCCCCATCTCACCTGTCTCCCGCCCTCTCCTACGCATGGACCCCACCAGCTGGGCGTCGGCTGGCTGAGCCAGGGGAGCGTGGAGTTCCAGGATGTGGTGCTGGTGTACCGGCCAGGGCTGCCCAACGCCCTGGATGGGGTGACCTTCTGCGTGCAGCCTGGAGAGAAGCTGGGCATCGTGGGCCGCACGGGCTCCGGCAAGTCTTCCCTGTTGTTGGTGCTCTTCCGGCTGCTGGAGCCCAGTTCCGGGCGAGTGCTGCTGGACGGCGTGGACACCAGCCAGCTGGAGCTGGCCGAGCTCAGGTGTGGGGAGTGAGAAGAGGGGACACGGCCGCCGGCAGGGAGAGGAAGGCCCAGCCAGGAAGGCTTTATATAAACACACAGCAGTCAGGGTGGATCAGGAGGTGAGACAGAGGGTTAGACAAGCAGGCTAGAATAGTGAGCTCCCTGCACTCAGGCCTGGATTCAAAGCTACGGTCTTAAGGCTTTCACCTTCCCAGCTTCATCTTGGACTTCCCAGCATACAGTGCCTTCCACTGTAGACCACTGGTCACTCTCCTGAATCAGAGCCTCGCAGGTGCCGTGCCCTGGGGCTTGGGACAGCTGGTGACCTGGGCCAGTAGTCCCTGGCCACAAGTAGCCTCATCTGGAGCCAAACAGACCCCCAACCACATTACTCTGTTATCATTTTCTCTTAGTTCCATGACATGGGAAAAGGTAGGGGGAAGCGCTGTCCTAAAGCCATTACTGACCCCAGGCCCTGGCCCTGTCCTTCCTGCCTTCTCTTCTAACTTGTGACGGCTTCCCCTTATGGCTTGACCAGAGAGCTCCTCAGGACCCAATTTCAGGCCTGCTTCCAACCTGGAAGCGTCCCCTACCCAGTCACACTCTCTGGCCATTCCTTGCCATCCACTGCTGTCCCATGACACTGGTGTCAGTGCCACATAGTTTGGCTTATGCTTGTTCTGTTTTTGCCCCTCAGGCCTTTGGTTTCCTTGGTGTTCCTCATAGCACCAGTCCAGTTCTAGGTTCATGGCTGACCAAGCAGGGAGCAAGATGGGAGTTGTGATTAAGTCTTATCCCACACTCTCCTGAAGGGCTGGACCTTTTAACTGAGACCTGTGCTGGGAGCAGAAGTGGTCACATCTCTAGCCTCAACCCCTGTCCCCTCCTCACCCCCCAGATCCCAGCTGGCGATCATCCCCCAGGAGCCCTTTTTGTTCAGTGGGACTGTGCGGGAAAACCTGGACCCCCGGGGCCTGTATGAGGACGGGGCCCTGTGGCAGGCCCTGGAGCAGTGCCACCTGCGTGAGGTGATCGAGTCTATGGGTGAGTGTCCTGTCCTGTGTGGTGGCGGGAGGAGCGAGCAGAGGGGCTGGAGGAGGCTCAGAACTCCGGGGTGAAGACGCTGTGCTTTGCAGGTGGTCTGGATGTTGAGCTGGGCGAGAGGGGCCAGCGCTTATCTCTGGGGCAGAGGCAGCTGCTGTGTCTGGCCAGGGCTCTCCTCACAGATGCCAAGGTAAGAGAAGAGGGAGGGCCATGCGAGAGGGCCAGGAAGAAGGCAGGGGACAGGTGAGGGCTGAGGAAGTGGACTGGGGAGAGGTCACAAGGGACCAAGTTTGTGTTCCTTTTAGAGCTGGAGGTGGGGAGCCAGGGGCTGGCCTGGGCCAGACCAGGAGGTGGGGGCTGGAGGCTTGGGTAGCAACCACGGCTAACCCTCTTTTCCCCACTCATCCCTAACCCTCCCCACACGCTCCAGATCTTGTGTATTGATGAGGCCACAGCAAGCGTGGACCAGAAGACAGACCAGCTGCTCCAGCAAACCATCAGCAAACGGTTTGCCAACAAGACAGTGCTGACCATCGCCCACAGGTGTGTAGGCATCCAGAGTGAGAATCTAAACCAGGGGTGTCATGGACGCCGAGCCTCACTTCCTTTCAGGGACCCCAGGAGTCAGGGCTCTGGAAATTCCAACCCCTGTGACTCTCAGCTCCTCATTCTCTAGGCTCCCACCAGGCCCCTTGTAGCAAACGGTCTCAGGGAACATGCAGCCCCTCCCCTAGCACAGAGCCCTGGGGCTGAAGCCTGTGGGGCAGGGGGGCGCTGTCCAGCGGGGATGGAGGGAAAGGAGGCCAGCCTTCTGTAGGGTGCAGGCCTCCATCCCTGTGTTGACCACCCCCTCCCATGCAGGCTCAACACGATCCTGAACTCCGACCGCGTGCTGGTGATGCACGCGGGGAGGGTGGCGGAGCTGGGCTCCCCTGCCGCCCTGCGCACTCAGCCCCACTCGCTGTTCCAGCAGCTGCTGCAGAGCAGCCCGCAGGGAGCGCGCTCCTCCCCGTGAGGGCCCGGGCCCCCCCCACTGCCGATGGTTTACACTCCTCTGTGTCTCTACCTCTCCCTCTCCTCCACAGAGGGGAAAGGGTGCCCTGGGCTCCTCTTCACAAGCCACTCTTTGTGCGGGCAGAGTCCCGTGGCTTCCCCAGAGGCAGGCCTCTGCTCTGGCCCTCTGGCATCTGGGACTCCAGGCAGACTTTCTGTGGCAAAGGAGCCCACATGCACATCCATACTTTTATTTGATAAAATTCCCATTTTTACATTCTGTGTATTAAAAAAATAATATTTGTGGCATGAGACTGAGGTCCCTTCGTGTGTGTACCCCAGCTGAGGGGTGACGAGAAGGGGCCACTCCAGTCCAAGCGCCCTAGGAGCTGAAGGAGGGGCCCACAAAGCCCCCACCTCCATCACAGAGCAGTGGTCTTCCCAGGCTCGGGGGGCAGGTCAGGCGGCAGAGGGAACCCTGCCGGCAGCATGCTAACCTGACACTCCTGGTCCTGGCGCGCTGGTGCATAGCGTAGGGCAGGGTAGCAGCAGGGTCCAGGGGGGCAGAAACCCCGGCGCCAAGCCCTCAGGGTCAGCAGCACCGTGGACAGGACCAGGGTGGCTGTGACAGCCCCAAACACCACTACAGCCACAAGGCTGGGCTCGCCCAGCCCGGCCTCTTGCCGCCGCACCACCTCCTTCACAGAGATGCGCAGCAGGCCAGCGCCCACGCTGTGAGGGATGGGCCCCGTGGCGGGTGCCAGCACAGCCAAGGTGGGCCCTGGGGGGGTGTCCGCTGTGCTGGCAGGACCCAGGACGGGTAAGACTAGCTCACAAGTCTTGCCACCATAGCCGCTGGGGCAGAGACAGTCAAAGTCGTGGACCCGGTCCCGACAGCGGGCCCCTCTCTGGCAGGGGCGGCTGGCACAGTCATCCAGGTTGATGGTGCAGAAGCGCCCAGTGAAGCCCTCGGGGCAGAGGCAGGAGAAGCGGTTGATGCCGTCCAGGCACGTGGCACCGTTAGCACAAGGCCGCATCAGACAGTCATCCACGTTCACCTCGCAGTGGGCACCCACAAAGCCCGCCAGGCAGCGGCAGGTGAAGTTGAGGGCAAAGCCCTGGTTGTCCTGGCACTGCCCGCCGTTCCGGCATGGGGAGCTGGTGAGGGAGGCGGGGAGGGTGTTTTATCAACTGCCACCTGCAGGGTAGACCAAGTCGACATCCGGATCCCTGCTACCACCACCCCTCTCTAGCTCTGTCCCCTTGAGCCACTCTCTCTGAGCCTCAAATGCCTCCTTTAAAAATGGGATCAGAGCAGTACCCAGCTTTCCAGGTTGTGAGGGTTAAATGAAATGGCTGAGGTCAAGCAGGTAGTAGAGGGCCTGGCCTAGAGTCAGGACCAAGGCGAGTGTACTGTTCGTGTTCTCTCAGACGCTTAGACCCGAGGCGGGAATGAGGACAAGTTCAGCCCCACAGGCTGTCTCCTCATTCACCATGAGGCCTAGGCTGCCGCATGGGACAACTTCAGGGGCTGCACACCAGCTTTCCTGGGAGGATGAGGGGGGTCCTAGGCCCACGGCCTCCCCAACCAGGGAAGTCCCGCAGTGATGTGTTACACCTCCAGCCCCTGTCAGTTTCTGTCGTTGGAGAAATGGTTCAGATGGTGTCAAAAAAGCTGAGGAGCCCTTGGGATACTCTAGCAGACTGGGGTTTTATCCTCGAGCTTGTGGGACTTGAGACCCCCAGCCCTGACACTGCCCCGCCACCCCCCTCCACAGTCCTCTCTCCTCCGTCGCCAGATTCTCACCTAACCGGGGGGCCAGCACTCACCCTGCCTGCTCACAGGGTCCGGCCTTGCGCTCACAATCACGCCCGTGGAAGCCTGGTGGGCACACACAGTGGTACTCACCGCCCCCGTCATACACGCACTGGCCTCCGTTCCGGCAGGGGGACTGCGTGGTACAGATGTGTTCATCTGCAGAGGAGACCGGGAGGGTCTGGGACAGCCCCTCACACGTGGCACCCAGACCTGCCCAGGCCCCACCCAGAGCTCTGTGGGGGTGGCTCATACTAGTCCCAACCTGGGCGGAAAACAAGACTGAATTTGGAGTCAGGAGGTGCCTAGCCCTGGCCCTATCAGTCTGTCTCAATGTGCCTCTGGGTAAGTTGTATCTCATTTGTGGATCTCAGTTTCCTCATCTGCAATATGAGGACAGTTTCTCACAGGTGTCTTACCTACCACAGAGGGTTGTCTTGAGGACCAGTTCAGATAACAGGCAGGTATAAAGTCTACAACTATAAAATACTACAGGCTTCCCTGTGGCTCAGCTGGTAAAGAATCTGCCTGCAATGTGGGAGATCTGGGTTTGATTCCTGGCTTGGGAAGATCCCCTGGAGAAGCGAAAGGCTACCCACTCCAGTATTCTGGCCTGGAGAATTCCATGGACTATATATAAAATACTACATATTTGAGGGTTTGAGCCAGACACAAGAGGCACTCAATAAATAAGGATGGATGTTTCTCCCAAGACACATGGGGCCCCCCAGTCCAACAGCCACCCTCTCTACCCCCCTACCTTTGTCACAGAACTTGCCTGCCCAGCCCGTGTGACAGATGCACTGCCAGGGCTGGTGGCAGGTACCATGCTGGCAGCCAGGCATTCTCACACAGCGCTCACAGTGCAGCCCCTCCCAGCCTGGGTCACACCTGACGGGGGGAAGCACAGTCAGGGCTCCAGGTAGGAGGAGGTGAAGACCAGGGAGGAGGCAAGCTCAGAGCTTCCAGGAAACAGGAAACAAACAAGACAGCTCCTAAGGGAAAGCAGGCCTATCCCGGGTGGATACAGAGCTGCGCCGGGTCACCAGATACATATATGATATCAGGCCACCATCCACCAGCATTGGAGTTCTGGTTCTGCACTCTGTCTGACCTTTCCAAGGCTCAGTTTTCTCATCTGTAATCTGGGGCGACACCTGGCAGGGATGTGTTGAGGAAGAAATTAAGATGAGGGACTTCCCTGGTGGTCCAGTGGTGGTTAAGAATCTACCTGCCAATGAAGGGGACACAGGTTCAATCCCTGGCCCAGGAAGATCCCACATGATGAGGAGCAACTGAGCCTGTGCACCCTAGAGCCTGTGCTCCCCAGCAAGAGGAGACACCTCGATGAGAAGCCTGAAGTCTGCAATGAAGAGTACCCCCTACTTGAGGCAACTAGAGAAAGTCCATGTGCAACATGAAGACCCAGCACAGCCAACAACAAAAAATTTTTAAAAAGAACAGACATTAAGATGATGCCTGTTAAGTGCCCCTAGCACCGTTTCTGGCATATCTGAGGTGCTTAGAAACATTTTCGAAAGAAAAGTGACCTTGAAAGGTCAGCGGGACTGTCTTCCCACCCTGATTCCAGGGCAAGGCCTGCTTCAGAGAGTCCCTAACACCTCCAGCCCCTCCAGCAGCTTGCCCTGTCAGCTCATGTTTTTACATCCAGACACCCTTCCTCCTGCTGCAGAATTTACCCAACCCCTACCCCAATGTGTCAGTTACTTAAATTCATCAAAGAAAGACCCCCTTGAATAAGTGCATCTCCCCAGCAACCCTGACAAAGCCTTTCTTTTCTAAACCAATTTTCCATCTGTCTTGTCTTTATCTCCTCCCCCTTGCTTCATGGCTCCCACTCTCCACACTCCCTTAAGCTTCAGGTCTTTCTCCTGGCATCTTGAAGAAGAAAGTTAGAGTTCCTGGATCAGACTTGGGAAAGTAAAGTGGGGAGCTGTAGTTAGAAGAAGCAAAGGAGAAGCAAGGCAAAGGGAAATGGGGAAGGGACCGGCATGGTGCCAGGCTGCCCATCTGCCCTGTGTGCCACGGACTTGAGGGCATGGGGAAGGCCCTAGACATTCTGGGTCAGGCCTGGGGCTTGACTCGGTTGTGAGTATGGAGGCCTGGGAAATGCTGATCAAAGGGTTTGGGAGCATCGTGCTCCACGGAGAGGTACCTGCAGGAACCGTCAGGCGCACAGCAGCCGTGAGCCAGGTCACAGAGGGAGCTGCAGTCATCGCCTGCAAGAGATTGGTGTGGGAGGGGTGAGCCCGGGGGTCAGGGTTCGGCTGCCTGAGACGCAAGGCCAGGGAAAGGACGCAGCGTCCCGGTAACTGGAGGGGCCCAGCTCTGGGGCAAGGTAGAACAGAGACTAATCGCATTCCAAAGGGAAGCCCGGGGTGTCGCCAAGCCCGCGTCGGAGCGGCTTGCAGTTTCATCTCTGGCCGGCAGAGGTCAACGTGCGAGCGAGGGACGGCCGGACAGGACCGCGACCACAGCCCCCCGGGGGAGCGCTCACCTCGGACAGGCTTTACGGGTGCCCCCAGTATGCACAACAGGCACACGAGATGTAAGCAGCGGCAGCCGCTGGGCATGGTCAGCGCCGGCCCCGGGACGGACAGACGGATGGATCGTCGGACGTGCGGACACCTGTGGGATGGCATGGGATGAGAGGCGGCCGGTCTCGGAAATAGCGGCAAGGATTCCGGTTCGGTTCCGAGTGACAGGGGCCGAGGGGGAGAGGGGCGTCCAGATCGGGGAAAAAAAGGGAAGGTGTGGTGCAGCGGGAGGGTGGGGGCGAGGAAGGTGTGAGCAGGCGAGGGGATTGGAGACAGAAACGCGGAGCCTGCTACGTGGGAAGGAGGTGAAGGATGGACAGCGCGAGCGAGGTCAGGACTCGGGAAGGGGCCGGGGCTGGGAACGCAATCGGGACGGAGGGGTACTGGGATACCGCCGAGAGGCGACACGGGGACCTGGCAGCGCGCAGTCTCTGCCCCCGCCTCTGACTCCCCACGTCCCTCTCCTGTCTCCGCCGCGCTGGGCTCGGCCGCGGCGCGGGGCCTCGGATACCCAGCGCGCCCCCAGCCCGGCTCGTCCCTCGGTCCTCACCTCGGGCTGGGAGGCGGCGCGCCTCGGGGCGCAGAGCGAGGCGGGATCCGACGGACTCCGCCGAAGAGCCGGAGCGGGGCGCGGGGCCGCCCCTAGAGCGTCGCGGGGCCGGGCGCCCAGGCGGCTGCCATGCGAGCCGAGCGCTGGGGAATCTGGGCCTCGAGGCGACCCCGAGCGGCTGCGGCGGCTCCTCGCACGCGCTCAGGCCGCCTGCCAGGGGCGGCGTGTGCCGGCGGAGCCCGCCTCCCTCCCTCTGCTCCCAGGCTGCCGCCGCCGGCCCGCCCCCAACCCGCCCGCGCCCGGCGCCCCCACCCACAGCGGTCACCCCTTCCTCCGGGCCTCGCACTCCCCTGGGCCCCCGCCCTCCGCAGTCACCCAGCCTCTCCGAACCTCGCCCTCTCGGCTGCAAGGAGGAAATTACGGGAGGCTAAATGGGAGCCGACTGTAAAGGGTCGGCCAAGTGTGCGCAGCCGTTATTCTCCATCTCGCGTCTCCGCCTTCGCGACCCGAGCAGCTCACCCCGCGCCCCACCTCTGCTCTCCCCAGTCCGCCGCCCATCACGCCTCTCAGATAAATCTCGCGCACGCTCAGGGCACACTTGACGCTCCCGGCCCTCCTCCTGTCACCAGCCCACGCCTCCTCCATTTGTAAATCCTACATCACCTGCTTAATCTGTCTGCTACTCTCCTCCTCCCCTCGTGGCCATCAACAGCCTTCCAGGGTCGATCCCTGCCTAGGTATTAGCGTGGCCCACTCACCTACCCCTACATGCCTCCTCCCGCCAGCTCTGTCTTTCCTGTCTCTTTGCGTTCCGCTACCACTACTGGGAAGGTTCCGTGCACTGGGAACGCCCCCGACTCTGTAAATGTGCACCCCAAGTTCCCTCCTCTGTACCCCGGATCACCTCCATTCTTGACCTCAGGCTGATCGTCGACTGCTCAAACGTAGAGCTAGACTGAGTGTTTCCTAGAGGGAGTGAGGAAGCTCTGTGCCTCCAGCCTAATGGCTCAGAGACCTCTGACCCGGGAAAGGACAGGAAACCGTTTCTTGTTTGCCCAAGGCAAGGGAGCAGAGATCAGGACCCCCTGTCCCCACCTCTAGTCCTTCAAATCAAGATTTGATTTCACCAACCTTAAATTCGTGGTAAGAAGTAGTCCCTAGCCCGTGCAGATCAGCTTTCTACAGACAACCCCCACAGGTCGGAGCCCCTGAACTAATTTTTCTTGCATTCTTCATTGAACGTAGCCACACCCACCCCATCTGCCTAGCCATCTTGCCGAAACTGTGATCACCTCTTTCCTCCAGACCTTTCTAAATTTGAGTTGAACAATGCCATAGCTCTGACCATATGTTTTACTTTTTTTTTTACTGAAAAATTGCAAACAACCTATGCTGTCCAAAATGATTGTAAACAGATTACGGTATACCAACACACTATGTGACTATTGAAAGTCACCTTTGGGAAGTCTAAAGATTTTTTTAAAAGCTAAGAATAGATTAGGTGGAGGGAAAAAAGCAAGAAACAGAATGTGTCTCAATGTTGGCAGTGATTTTTTTTCCCCGGGTGATGGAATTACAGGTAATTTTTTCTTACTGATGCTTTTCAACATTTCTCTTTTTCCCACAATGAGCATGTTTAACTTTTTCTTGTTGTAAAAGAAATTCAATACCGTTAAAGAACTTTCAGAATACAGTAAAAATTGGGGGAATTCCCTGGTGGTCCAGTGATTAGGGCTCGGCACTTTCATTGTCCTGTCCCCAGTTCAATCCCTGGTTGAGGAACTGAGATCCAACAAACTTCTCTGTGCAGCTAAAAAATAAATGAATAAAATAAAAATTTAAAAATCACCCATGATCCTATTTGCTTGATAAAACCACTGTTGTTCTTTGACTCCTTTTTCTATCCAGCTGTTTTTACCCAGAACCTGTAATGTTGTATCATGTGTTATTTTTTTTTCACTCATCATATATTGATAGTTTTCAAAAGAGTACACTATTGCTACAATGTATAAAAATACAACTAATGAGAACCTACTTTGTAGCTCAGGTAACTCTCCTCAGTGCTCTCCAGTGACCTCAATGGAAAGGAAATCCAAAAATAAGGGGATATATGTGTATGTATAGCTGATTCACTTTGCTGTACAGTAGAAACAAACAACATTTTAAGGCAACTATACTCCTATAAAAATTTCTTAAATAAATTAATTAAAAGCATAATTTTATGGCTAAATGATAGCCCATTAAATAGATAAACCCTAATTTATTTAACCTGGGATTCCCAGGTGGCACAGTGGGAAAGAATCTGCCTGCCAGCGTAAGAGACACAAGAGACACAGGTTCAATCTCTGGGTCAGGAAGATCCCCTGGAGTAGGTAATGGCAGCCTGCTCCAGTATTCTTGCCTGGAAAATTCCACGGACAGAGGAGCTTGGTGGGCTACAGTCCATGAGGTCGCAAAGAGTCAGAGTCAACTGAGTGATTGAGCACACACCATTTATTTAACCTAGCCTTCATTCCTAGATCCTTAGGTTGTATTTACTTTTCACCATTATAAATTCATTCAACAAATATTTACTGAGCACCTGTCTGCTACCAGAGAATCCCATGGACAGAGGAGCCTGGCGGGCTACAAAGAGTGTCAGCAAAGAGTCCAACACAACAGAAGTGACTTAGCATACAGCACTCATGCAGCACCTATGTGCTACTACGCCATGCCAGACATCATCCTAGACACTGAGCTACAGCTCCAGGATAAATAGTAGTGATAAAAATTTTCATACAGTTTTTTTCCATCTTTTAGATTCCTTCCTTAAGATGGAGTCTGAATTGATGAGTGACTGAGTCAAAGAATTTGTGAAAAATGAATAGTTGCTTTCCATGAATGAAATTCACTGGCAATCACCGAAGAAACAATAAAGATACTTGAAGCTTTGGAAGTTGATGGCATCAGATTGTATCACTTACTACATGTTTTGAAAATTTTAGCACCTGGCATGTCACTCTCTTCACCCTTCCTTCTGCCAAATTCTTGGTGATTTTTTTAAAAGACTTTTCAAAAATGTGGATCATATTTAAAGTCTTTATTGAATTTGTTACAATACTGTTTCTGTTTTATGTTTTGTTTTTTTTGGTCTTGAGGCATGTGGGATCTTAGCTCCCCAACCAGGGATCGAGCCTGTACCCCCTGCACTGGAAGACGAAGTCTTAACCACTGGACCACTAGGGAAGTCCCTCTTGGTGACTCTTGATTAAGTACCACATAGACCAATTTTCCAAGAAGTGTGATAGTCTGTTTGCAAAGATGGCCACTCCACTTCCTCCTGTCCCACATGACCTTTAGCAATGATTTTGCTGCTCCTCCCAGGAAAAGGTAGAAGCCTATTTCTCAGCCTCTTGAATCTGGACTGGTCTTAGGACTTGTTTTGACTAACAGAATATGGTGGAAGTGACGTTGTGTGAGTCTGGGTCCCAAAAACCGTTGCAGCGTCTGTTTGCTCCCTTAGAAAACTTCCAACATCTTGTTAAGAAGTTCAGTCTGGCATGCTGGAAGACAAGAAGCTCCATGACGGAGACCTGAGATGCCCTGGTCAATATCCACAATATAGGAGGTCCTGTTAACTGCCTCAGTCAAGCTTCCAGATGACTCTGGCTCATGAATGAGCCCTGGCAAGACTAACAAGAACTGCTCAGTGGAGTCCAGCCGTATTACCAGATAAACAGTGGATGAGCAGTTAAACGGTGGGTATTTCAAGCCACTCTGTTTTGGGATGTTGTTACTATAGCAATGCTGCCATTCAGTCACTCAGTCGTGTCCAGCTCTTTGTGACCCCATGGACTGCAGCACGCCAGGCTTCCCTGTCTTTCACCATTTCCCAGAGCTTGCTCAAACTCATGTCCATTGAGTCAGTGATGCCGTCCAACAATCTTGTCTTCTGTTGTCCCCTTCTCCTGCCGCCTTCAATCTTTCCCAGCATCAGGGTCTTTTCTAATGAGTCGACTCTTCACAACAGGTGGCCAAACTGATAAAACCAGCTTCCCCCATTTCCTTGATTTCTTCCTCTCCACCAATGAGAAGGATGTTCCCACCCAAACCTTGTTACTACCAATTGTTTCACACAGTCCATGATTTTAAGTATTACACTTTCCTACAACCAGATCCTCTCTTTTCAGCCCATAGTACCTGGACTCAAACAGGTACTTTTGATATTTAGGTTGTGTTTACTTTTTTGGCCATTATAAATGCATTCAACAGGGACTTCCCTGGTGGTCCAATGGTTAAAAATCCATCTGCCAATGCAGGGAACACGGGTTCAGTCCCTGGTCTAGGAAGATTCCACATGCCTGCAGGGGAACTAAGCCCATGTGCCACAACTACTGAAGCCTTTGTCCTCTAGAGCCTGTGCTCGGCAACAAGAGAAGCCACTGCCATGAAGAGTAGCCCCCACTCGCTGCAACTAGAGAAAGCCTACTCACAGCAACAAAGACCC